CTCACCAGTTTCTGGGAATTTATTGATTCAGGTTTGCTCCTAATGTGTTGCTGTTCAATCTGGCTGTGTGTATAATGACAAACACACTCACATCTCACATCACAGAAACCCTCACATGACAGCCCCAAAGAATAAACCAAAATTTTCTGGAATTTCACATAATAACCTCAACCTCATTTAAAATGTGCATAAAGACCAGTGCAGAACAGGTAAAAAAAAACCTCCATCTAGAACAGTTTAATGATGAAATTGCAAAGTGCTTGATCGCTGTAAATAAAAAAAAAGAAACTGCATGAGTGTTTTGAACCTCTGCATCTTAAACTTTTATGAGTTTGATTTCCTAGTTTCCAACGTTTGTGTTTTGTTTGGATGAAATTCCTTGTTGTGCAGGAATTCCAGTCTCATCTCTGTTTGTCCTTTATAGATCAGAGTAGTTGTAGAGGCCCAGGGAGGAAGAGTGTGCTGTTTGCCATGAGATGAAAAATGAAGCGTATTGTATACCATGCATGCATTTTTATAGGATTACTTGAGTTATACTTATATACAAGTATAACTTGTCTCTGTATGTATTTCGTGTGCGAGTTGTTAGCAGTCCTCATCCTCAAAGTGTGTTTTCTGCAGAACCTTTACGTGACGCTCATAAATCTTGAGGGCGGGACCGAGCCTGATTGACAAGCCAGTCAAAACATCGTTACGCTGCATGAGGAGAAGAGACTTTCCATCGATTTCCTAAAGAAGAGAGCAAAGCAAAGTGGGTAAGTAGATGTAGGTTACAGTTGTTAAAGTGCAGCCATTAATCCTGCCTGTGATGCCATCTAGTGGTTGTTGAAGGAGACTACAGGCTCACCTGGGTCCTGAAGGCTGCAGCCTGCTCAGGGAAACCTGCTGCGGTGAAATAACTGACCACATCAGACACCGTCCAGTCCACTGGGCTTCCACTGGCTCCCTCGGACTTCACACACCTAAACAGATGAGGCAGGGCTTTATTATAGAAAGAGGTTTTGTGTTGCTTTATTTCATGGGTAAAACATATTTCCCATGACTTGCTAATCAGCCTGATTGATTAAGATGGGAACGCTGGGATTTCTATGTTTTTACAGATGGATGAAATGAACCTTGATTTTGGAATTGCTCTGTGTCACTGTTGGTGTAAACTGGAGTATCAGATATTACAGTTTGGTTATGCTGAATGGTGCAGACTTGGTTTCAATCTTTTACAGTGGTAACACACTCATCTTGGACTGTGTGGTATAAAGAAAACATGCAATACCCAGATGGCACATTTACTAAATACTGAGGGAGAAATATACCTCTTACAGCCAGACCACAATACAGTCAACATAGTTCTGCCCTCGGCTCTGTACTTCAGTACAGTAAAGTTCAGATTAAACAATGATTACGAGGTTAAGTTCTAACATTCAGTCTTAATTTGAGGGGGTTCACTCTGATATTGACTGAAGAGTGTGAGACTTTCATCAAAGATTCTTTAACTATAATGTCACACACAGTAAGTGGACTCCTTTTGAAATGGTTTGAACTGTGTCAGTGGTGTTTAATGTACACCCTAATGACTCAGACTCGGGTTAACAGTGACTCGACTTGGACCTGACTCTGACTAGAACACTTGGGACTCGAGACTCAACTTAGACTCAGGGTTTTGTGACTCAATGACAACACTGTCTCGACTAGTCGGTCATCTGATCCAAGTGAACATGTGTCTTATTTGCTGAAGACCAGACTTTAGTAAGAAATGCCCTAAAATAAACAAGAAGTAAACATGGCTGCAGAACAGGCCAGGCAGAGCATCTCCAAGGGAAATATCAAGTATCTGTTGATGTCTGTGGGTTGTAAACTTTAGACTATCATTAACTGCAAGGGATGCACAAACAAATGTTAAGTATGATGAAATTATTTATGCTTATTTTAATCGGTCAGATACCTTGAGACAGATGCCTACGAAACCTTGCAGTACGGCACTGAGTGACCTGCTGTTGCAAGGCTGAAGGTGTATAACTGGAAGTGCCATAAAACAAAGAATGAAGCGTTTCTTATGTAAAAGTAAATGATTTCCCACTTGTACTCAACTTAACTAATATTCTACGTATGCATTAACATCCTGCTGTGATCCGCCAACCAAAACCACAGAAGAAGCATTGATTTAGCACCGAGTTAGAATTCCAGGCCAATTCAAGCACCTGTGTACTTTCATGCTTCACATTAAAAACAATACAATAGAGCCTCCATGGCCTCATGCCTCGTTTTCATGAGTTTTCTGGCTCACTGCACTAAAAACATTAGACTTGTTTCCAGAAAATCAACAAGAAGGAAAAAAGAAACTTCAGCAGATCCAAAAAGCCAAGAAAAGTAGAAGCAGGTGCTATGCCGGCTCTCTGATGCCGTTTGCTGTTTCAGTATCTCTGCTGCACTCACCCGCCAGTGCTAACTCCTCCATTTATCCCTCGTTCTTCAGACAGGCCAGAGTCTCTCGGGGAGGCGGTGGGTGTGAGCAGGCAAGACGACACCCCAACCTCAGTCTTACACTCTAAGCCTTCAAGGAAACATTAAGCTCAGTCTGATTTCTTGTCATCACCTCCAACTGTGTTTACAACACAAACGTAGACGAATACACACACATTTTGAGATGACCAGTAACGTAGAACTCACTGTTAAAGCCTGAGGAGGTATCTTGACAAAAACACAATACCTGTAGTTTGGAACACTTCAATGCGTGAGGTAAAATCATATTAAAACAACAGAGGGATATAACTTCCACCCAAAATGAACAGAGCTGGTTTCATGGCAAAACTGCAATGGCATCTGTGATGTCTTTCAAGTTTCATACAATTTTTTAAATTCCTGTACTATATTTGAGTATTTTTAATATATTATTAATCTTCTATAGGTTTCCATTTCACTACATTTCAGGGAAGATAATATTATAACATTATAGTTATTTGACGTAGATATGAGTAACTTTGCAGATTCAGATTTCATAATCAAAGATTTGCACAAAAAGCATTGCTCTAGTTCCAAATGGTATATAAAAGACTTAAAAGTAGTGTTGGTGATTCTTTTCAGAAGCTTTTTTGTTACATTTCTTGAAATTCTCTTTTCATCCCAATGGCAGTGAATACATTAAATGCACCGAGAGCATAAAGAAAGAAACTATCATCTGTAGCAGCAGGGCTGAAAAAAGCCTGACCAGTGATTTTACTCGACCCAAGCAAAACCACTGGATGGCCTACCTGCCTGTCCACCTACTTCCTACTTGTGCGTACTCTGCCCTTGCACTTAATGCAACAGCCAAGAGTCTCCCACAAGGTGTTGCAGGCTGATGTGTTACCGATCTGTTTTTATAGCTAAAGCTACGAGCTATGGCAGAGAAGGTACCCACAGCAACTTTCAGTCACAAGTGGACACCATATTTGAGAAAGTTACAACTAAAAAGAAGTTGGATGCTGCATAAGGTAAAGCCAGAATTAACATTGGCATGGCTTTTGAAATGATGGTGACAACTGAGAGAATAAAAGGGGCTGAAAAGTGACACAATGGTGGCCGTATTTCTGCTGGACAGTTAATTATTGGTTTGGTTTTGTTTGGGGGCATTTGTTATTTTCCTGAAATCTGTAAGTAGTGGTCAGGCAGTGCGCATTGCAGTGTGCATTGCGTTTTGGAGGAGTGGCTTTGGAGAGAAGTCAGAGCAAAAGGGTGGGATTTCTCTGGTTGGCATATTTTCAAAATCAAGATTCCTCTTGCTGGTTTTTCCAGGATCACCAACCCTACCTTTAAAGTTAGCACAGCCTTCATCAGATACAATATTAAAACATTGCTTTGCATGTTAGTGCGCTAGTAACAAAATTATAATAACCTATATAACCCTCTGAAAAGAGCCATTTTAAACAATTAGTACTTTAATAATAACACCTGCTTTACAATGTTAAATTTATACATATAAGACTTACTGGTAAGAGCATACTCATTACTTATTACACCACTAAGGAATTGGGATGTGGTAGTATATTTTCTAAGTATTTTGGGGCCATTTCTACTCTTTCTTTGTAATAGTAGTAGTAGACAGTAGTAGAGTGATGACAGGAATGAGGGAGACAGATCCCTGGCTGGACTACACGGTTCATCACCAATGTCTGCGGGAGTCATTATGATGGTTTTTTGATAATGTGTGGGAAATAAAAACCAACAGCACAGATGCACATGCTTGCACTTACTTGTACTCCCATATGTAGCTCATCAGGGATGAGAGCTCTCTCCTCCAAGTGTGCACTGTTACACGGTGACAGTGATGCTCCCTGAGCAGGTGGAAACAGTGTCTTGGTAAAAGAATCCATTCCTGAGAAACCAGCAATCAAACGCAGATAAGTAAAGCGGGTTTAAAACTATTTACTATTCAGGAGAAATTGATGCTGCAGTAATTGCTACTGTTCTGTATATTTGTAGAGTACTTAAAAATGGTATATAAAGGGAAACCCCCCCAAGAAATAATTGAATTAAGCTGGCCATTCATAAAATTAAATTAGGAGATTAAAGCAGCAGTTTAAATTGTAATAGAAGACATTAAAGGCACTCGACCTAATTTCTAGGGTTTAGTAAACTGACACTATAAGACACTCCTTACCACTCTCTAAAGGCTGGATACCTGACCTCACCCATTGGTACCCAAAGGTTTGGGGCGAGTTCAGCCACTTGGGTCAAATTTTAAGCTAAACAGGCATAATTGCACTATTTTTAGTCTAATTTTGAAGATCTAGCCTATTGAAAATTCAAATGACGAGCCTATAATGCCTATACTGCTTCAGATTAAGTGCATGACAACTCTAGCCATGATATTAGACACACAAGGGCCATACTGCATTGGGCTCAATCAGGCTCGGCCACCACACTCTATGGTTTGGGGTGGGTTTGGATAGAAATGTGTGGCGGGATCAATACTCTACTGCTCTTGGCCCCTCCCATCCATGAATATATTATGAGAACTGGATACCAGAATACAAAATGGAGCCCATTCTTTCCACTGAAAGTTGCTCACCTGACGCATACAACAAAAAAAGTTTTTCTTTTCTGGGTTTGCCTTTGCATTGAGCAGCTCACTGCACATGCACATTAGTGTTTCCCCCTGCTGCCCCTGGCATATAGACCTTACATGTCTATGGGGACGTTTTACAAATATAAAACCTCCATGGATTAAAAAATCATAATACAAACTCGTTTATAGATGGAGATGTCCATTCAACAGTTTTATGAACAATTCTTTTATAGTTGTGGTCTATGGAGAAAATGCTTTTTGGACCTAGGAGGATTTTTTTGTTTCAGTACAACAAAAAGTTGTGGCAAAAAAAAGGCCAAACAGCTGTTTGCTGGTACCATATCCAGCTCTAATTGATAGATCTAAGCTCCCGTCAAATCCTGTTTCCTAGCAACGATGTAAACTACGGATGCCTGGTTGTGACAAACTGTACAAAGTGCGGCCTCCAGTCTGAAGCTAGTGTTACCTGACTAATGAATAAGTTTGGCAGTCCAGTAGAGCACTCTGGTTACTGCTAATGTGACACAAAGCACTGACGTTATACAAAGCTTGAATTACTCCCAATTTAAAATCATATTAATTCAATACAAAGGTAAAATCTTGACCATGCTGGGTTGTTGCTTTAGATGCTAAGGCCATCGAGAGGGAAGAACGCTATATCTGAATCAAATTGGAGTCTTTTGACTGCTTTAATGTTCTCATTCCAAAAAGCCAAACCTATGTTAACCCTGGTTTTTGCTCTTTCTTTGTCCCACCCTCTCTGTGCAAAAGAATGTGACTTCTTCAGTCTGACAGCCACTGTTTCTGACTTACAGATGAAAGGTGGCTGTTTGAAATGACTACTGGCAGTTTGAAAAATGTTTCTTATAACCTTTCCTAGATGGTTGGCAGGGCTAGTTTATGGACCTTTTGTGACAGCACAGGGTAGAGAAGCGCTGTAGGCAGCAGAGAGACACCACATCCTGTCCCATTTTCACCAGTTTTATCAGACAGATGTGTAATATCTTAATGCATATCAAACGTTGACATTTACTTTAAAAGGAACTTTTAAAAAAGCCTCATCTATATTTACGTATTTGTAAGTAACATTATATGATTGTAGTGACATAAACAGTAGTCACTGGTGATAGGTCACTATGGATAATGGCAGCACACACACCTTTGCCACCATGCTGCTGCTGGTGGGGGCTCTCCTGCTTTGATGCTATCTCATTCTCAACATCTTCTGTGGTTTTCTCACTGAGTCCTGGTTCAGTTGTCATGGCTACTGGGGATAGTCCTCCCTCCTCATCAGAACTCCGGGCATCCTCCTCCTCCTCCTCCTCCTCCTCCTCCTCTTCTTCTTCATTCTCTTCCCGATCTTCTTCTTCACTGGCTATTTCCATTGGCTCATTCTCCTGGCCAGAAAGGGACGGCTGCTGCAATGACATATAGCCTAAAGTTGTTAGAACATGTTCACATTTAAACAGAGAGTAAAGTGGAGATCACTGCCTTCACTGTGCAGCACCTGAGTTTGAGTTCTGATCCAGGATTGGCGCATTGTACCTTATTGGAGCTACAGGAGATAAAGCTGCTGCTTCTTTGGGGTGGAAAGTGTAGATTAAATAAAAAAAACACCTCCCACTTGGAGAGGCAGTTATGAGAAACAGCCGCCTACTGTAGCCTACTGAAGTCTGCGCTCACGGGGGAAGAAGGGAGGAGAGTGCTGTCAGAAACCATACAAAGGATTTAATAAGGCACGAGAATGGAGAGACGTGGAAAAGAAAAACCAAACTACGTGCCTCAAAACGCACAAGGTGCGATACAGATTAGCAAACATGATTCTCGGTTGTTTGGGCTGAGTCCTCCGGCGGCCTGGGCGACAGAGCAGCGCGCACAGGAGCGTGGCAGCGGCACGTCTCAAGTTTAAACAGACACCGCCTATTGCGCGGCAGGCCCAGACGCCCAGCGCTCCGTTCGGCGCAGCTGAACTTCTTGAGAGAGAAATCAAATGTTACTGACCCCAAATAGTGATGTGACAACGGCACCAGAAGCGGCTCGTGCGCGCGCCATGCAGAGACGCTCCTTGTGGTGCGCGCGCCCATCGTGAGAGCCGGGGAAGCCGCTCCGGAGCCGTCTGCTCCTCTGTAACCCGCACCTTTTGTGCAGGAAGCCGAGCTCCGCGCGCACACAAACACACGCACACATATTTGCCGAGACCACAGAGTACAAATGCAACACAGGCATGCTGTCACATCCTGCTGACAGGTAATCGACAGAGAAAAACAAAAATAAACCTTTCTAAAGGAGGGAAATCTCAATCACTTTTGCATCGCACACATCGAGGGGAAACGGGAAAAATAGATTTGGCGAGGGAAGTCGAGCGCGTCCTAGTGCCGTGCGTGCGATTTTAACCAGCGATCATTAATTTATCAGCAAGCCTATACGCGCACCCCGTACAACCGGGAACGTGTCGGAAATGTTAAATTAGCGTTGCCCACCTTTTTCCCACTGTGCTTGTCCTGCAGTGCGCTCTTTACAAGTCTGTCAGCGGACGCATTCTTCGGCATCGGCTCCTCCACCACCACCCCCCCCAGAGGAAGAGGAATGTTCCCGCCGCGGGGCCTGGCCCGACCGCCCCTTCCCCCCTCT